AGGTAGGCCTGTCAGTGGGATCATACCTTTTAGGTAGGCCTGTCAGTGGGATCATACCTTTTAGGTAGGCCTGTCAGTGGGATCATACCTTTTACGTAGGCCTGTCAGTGGAATCATACCTTTTAGGTAGGCCTGTCAGTGGGAAGAGGTGCATTCACTTACTGCAGCTTCTAATGTAGCAATCTACATGTATGTTTGTTTTAGATATAAACAGTCTGCATGCCCAGCCTGAAGCGGTCATGCTTTGGATATCATAGTGCTTTTTGTTAGACTTAGGTTAGTATTGTATTGCTATAACTAGTATTTTCATTACTGCTACTTAGTTTTGTGATGTCTAAATTCAAATTAACAATATACTCAATAAACCTTGAAAAGTAGCATGTCAGTTCCTAACCAATCACACACACACTTGTATGTATGTGTGTGTGTGTGTGTGTGTATATATATATATATATGTGTGTGTGTGTGTGTGTGTATATATATATATACATATATAGCATTGCAACAGTGAAAGTGATGGACGCATTAGTTGGTTCAGGGACGGGCCACGAAAGCAATCACAACAAGAAAGCGGCAGCATCCCGCCTCGTCGCCCGGCTGCCTGCCTTCTGAACCGGTGGGCAGGCGTGGTCTCCCTGCCGACTTCCGCACTTAACCTTCTGCCTGTGGGCGAGCTCTGTCGGTGGGCTTGGGATCGCAATCAAGACTGTAGGATCGCTTGCATGCTTTTTGTCTTGACATATATTTTATCAGCATTATTATTTTAGGCGTGCTTTTTTTTGCAGGCTGTTATCAAGCTAGCTATAATAATATGGTTGTGTTGACCAACGCTACTACTACCAGTAACAGCAATGAAGCGCTGGATTACATGTAAGTTATATGAATGTGAATTAATATCCCGAATTAATGTAAATTCATGGGACGTATCTTCTAAGCAGTTTAAGCTAACATAACTAGGTTGCCAACTCTGTTATTAGCCTGCTAGTCTAAAGAAGCGAAACCTGTGAACCAGATAGTTGTCAACATCACGACCCTAATGAGGAGCTCCGGCTAAATGCCTTTCGGAGTCTCTGCTCACTGCCGCATAAACCGCTTAGTTCTCGGTGACCGATTTAAGCAGCTGTCGTTTGACGCTTGAAGGTTACATGGTTACTTACAGCTAGAGATGGATGATAAAACGGTCTCCCGGGCGCCATTTTAGGCGAGTTCGCTGGCCGACTAGCCAGTGCAGGCATTAGCCGCTCGCTGCTCTTTAAAGACAGCTGAATGTATGCAGTCCGAGTAATAAAAGTAACTCGCCGAAAATAGAGAGAAATTGGGTAGTTAGTCCTGTCCCTGTTTCAGCTCGCAGGTCCATGTTGGTGTGTTTATTAGTGTGACGGTTTGTCTGGCTAATTAGCTGCAGATTTACACCCCCGTAGACCTTTTACTTGGCTGACATTAGCCAGCTATCTCGGCGTTCGGCCTCTTATTTTGTTTTTGCGGTGTTTGCTGTGGCTTTCCGGGGAGATCGTGGCGTTTGCCCTGGAGATGGTAACGCCTCGCATGTCCGACATTTTGTCCCCTGTCTGTCAGACGCGGCCGCGACAGCGGGCTGATGCTGCGAGCTTTGCGGCTTTAGCTTAAAACACAAAAAGGTTCGATAAAATAAGGGTGATGGAGGGACGGTGTTCAGGGGGGAGCCAGGAGTCGGTACTCTCCTGTAAACTGTCTGCTTGGCGCTGAGGGTCAGGATGCATCTCCTGTTACGTTATAAAGCGGCGCTTGATGCGGTGTAACATAGACCCCGAGCTGCCGTCGCTTTGACACTTTAAACACTCTATCGAACACGTTTTTAAGTGAAAGCTTTCAGTTGTCTAATAACTGTTTAAATGTAAACCAAAGCAGTTTATTTATAAAACCAAAGAAGGCTGGAGTGTGGAGCACAGGCGCTTTCGGATGCAGTGTCACGCCCCGGTGTGTTTTTAATGCCCCGCAGCCTGGTAGCCGAGCGCAGCGCGTCCGCGCCGAGCTCCCCGTCCAAGCGAGTGTCGCCGGCCAAGAAGAAGCAGTTCTTCATCAATCAGGCCATCCGCAACTCGGACCTCATCCCACGGGCCAAAGGCAGGAAGAGCTTGCAGCGCCAGGAGAACTGTAAGCTGCGCCTGCCTGTCTTGCTGTAAATGCTGTCTTACGGTGCTGTTTTACATATTAAAGTTGAGCACCTTTGGAAATGGCCGTCATGGTTGCCCTGTGGCATGGCGCTGGCCTCCACCTTTTTTCTGTCCTCTACTACAGTGTTTTCCAACCCAGTCCTCGGGGAATCCCGGACAGTCCACGTTTTTGCTCCCTCCCAGCCAATCAGGAACACCGAATACCTGGTACAGCAGCTGGGAGCTGAGAGGAAACGAAAACATGGACTGGGTTGGGAAACACTGCTCTACTGTACCCTGATTCTGTTTCCTGTGTTTTGTGGATTTTCTCTGGCTACCCTGATTTCCTCCTGCAGTCCAAAAACATGCAGTTAGGTTAATTGGCATCGCTGAATGGTCAGTAAGTGTGTGTGTGCATGCTCTTGCGTTTAGGGTGTACCTCTGCCTTGTGCCCTGTGTTGTCTGGGAGGAGTTCCAGACCCCTGCAGCCCTGTGATGGATGGATGGATTTTTTAATGGCTTTGTTATGTAGGTGTCCACATCAGTGACTTGGGTCTTGTGCATAATTAAGGTGGCTGTATTTTTTTGTGTTTTCTGCAACAAAAACAGCTCGATATCTGGCTAATTTGCTAGAGAGGGATGAGTGCTCCAAAGATGAAGCGGACACGAGCAGAGAGCCTGCAGCCCCCTCCATATTCACAGAGGCCTGTACCAATAGCAGTTACATCCAGGTAGGCACCTCTCTTCCCTGTGTGGACACTGAATGTTTTTCTTTCTCTTTTTACTGTGCACCAGACTTTAAACTGCAGAATGGACTGCAGCACCAACACTGCAGCGTCTCGTTACTGTATCTTATTATTGTGGCTGCTGAGCCGTCTCCTTCTTCACCGACACTTGAAGCTTCCTCTGAGGAGGCCTTATCTCTTTCATACTATTACCAAAATAGTAGCATGTGTCATGCTCGGTCAACTTCACTGTGCAGTTTTTGGGGAGCTGGTCGTCCGTCCTTAAGACTACCATATGATTGGTTGAAATTGTTTCTTTCTGTGATGTGATAGGCTGAAGTATTAAGCAGTATCCTTGTTGACAGTTTATTGAGGTTGCTCATTTTCTTGCTGTTTTTGTATCGTGATAATTCGACATATTGTTTATATCGCCCAGCCCTAACCTGATGTTATTTCCCCCTCATCTCAGTCATGGAATGATTTTATGAATCGTTCCGGAGATGAACAGGACAAGCTGCTGGCTCTGTTGGAGGAGAAGGCAGGAAAGAGCTGCTCCGAAAGGCTGCCTAAGGATCAGAGAGAATGTAAGTCCTGCTCTCACTCACTTTCAGATGGTTTGCATAAGTAGGACCTGCTGTCCTCATAAGCGGACTTGTCAGGTACATGAAGCCAGTTTCTGATGGTTTGCCGTGAGTCGGCAGGCAGGCATGCATTACAGAGAATGAGTGACCATGTCTTCCAAGAAATAATCCCGGGCTATTGGCTAAATCTTAGTGGATCCAGCCCACACTGCTCAGGACTGCTTCCAGCGGATCGACCGGAGGCTTCGCACTGCACTCAAGAGGCGACACGTCCCCATGGTTAGTGCTGCTCTGCGCTGAGCAGGCACAGTGTTTCTGCCACTGCGGTCGCTCTGCAGAAATGATGCTTCCTTCTAAATGATAACATTTCCTCGGTCTGCAAAGGGGATGCTGGAGGTGCTGGAAGAAGATCTGCTGCGTTTTTTTGTGGCTCATCCTCGCTCTGTTTACACCACAAAACTGGCCAGCAGGTGTGTTTAAATGCCGCTGTCAATGTGTCGGTACTCAGTTTTGTACGTAAAGATAAGTGCTGTAGTGTTGGATCACAGAGACACACTGTCCCCAACTTACAACCATGTGACTTACGACAACTCAAACATAAGTAAATGTATTCTACAGATTAATTTTGGGTGGCTGTCACCTGGCAGCGCTACACTAGCTAGTGCGCGCTCGTTACCATGTGAAGGTTGCTGTGGGAGAGTACTGTCCTGAATGGCAGTGTGACCATCTGTCTCAGACATTGAGTCCTCCCTCATTTTCACACCTAAACGTCAGTGCGATTATCCTATTCCGACATACAGCCTGTCTGTCAGAATGTAACCTAGTCGTGAGTCAGCGATAGCCTGTAAATGGAAATCATTTCCTTTTGTTTATAACGGTACTATTTTGGTTGTGCTTTTTTTGTTTGACTAGCTATGAGAGACTGCTGCTTCACGCTGTCTGCCAGTACATGGACCTTGTGTCCGCAAGTAAGTTCTGTAACCTGACTGTGTGCCGTCTGGCGTTTCAGGATTTTCCTGCTGAAAGAATTGACTGGTTTTCAGGCAAAGGCACGTGGCTTAATTTGGTATCACTTCATTGTTTTAAGTAATAGATCAACCATAGGTTTTCTAGGGAGTAATGAATCTTCCTCCCGTTTCACCCAAACTGGGACCAGTTAGGTATCAGGTGACCTTTAGATCAGGCTAGATCTTTCCAGTGCAGCAGGACCAGGAGACACGCACGCACACACACACACGCGCATGCACACACACACACTGATGTGTGTATTGAATTGACTCCGACCTGATTAGCAAGACCAAGGCTTTCTGCAATGTGTCAGTTATATCAGTGGTCACACCATCACAGACGTTTGTAGCGCTCTAATGCCTGATTTTGTGAGCTGGAAAAGCTCTCTAACACTCTGTACTTTTGTGTAAAGTACCCTGTTTCCCCCTATATTTCTTGCATAATTTAGGTATCAACCACAACGGTGATCGTCAAACCAAGGTTGTGAACAAACAGGATGAGTTCTCACCCCCAAAACCTCTGCTGTCCACATACCTGGAGCAGATGAGCTGAGAGCGGAGCGCGGAGCGCGGCCTGACCGTGACCACCAACTTCACAGATTGTTACGCCAATAATCGCTTGTCACTTGTGTTTGGAGCAAAGAGATGGTAACTTGTTCCCTGTGATCTTGGCTTCTTGGTTTGACCAGGAAGAGCTCTGAGCCATAGATGGGGGAAACAAGGCTGGTCACCTTTTACACAATCCATTCAATTATTCATTCTGTGGGACATTAACATGTTTTAATTGAATTTGCCGCCAGGTCAGAGCCACACATAAGTTGCACAAATGTGATTGTCCAAAGCAGACTTAATGTATGTTTTTTTGTGAAAGGTAATTTACATTATTATAAGTCATAGAAAACCTCCAGGTTCTTCAGTCTTGTTTTTCAGTGGGTGGGAGTTGTTTTTTTTTGAGTTTTCCCTTGTCATCCGGTCAGTATATCTTTACACAATTACTGTTCCTGTCTGCAAGGAATATGCAGATAAGTTTGGTAAACATAATGGCAGTGATTTCCAAAATCTGATTTAAAGTGCTTCTTTTAATAAGGTTAAATCTAATTTAACTATAGAGGGTAATACCAAGTATGATTGTGATTTGTAAAGCAGTTCAATCTTGAATTGTAATTGATTTTATGCTGCATAATGGTAATTTTTAAGTTAAAGTATGACAACCTAAAACATGAATACCTTTGTAGGGTTAACCTGGTTTGCCTTTTTGACTGGAATTGTGGTGAAATTGACAAACAGCTGTATCTTCTCAGGCAGAAATTTTAAAAAATCTTGTGACATTAACCTATGGTGCTGTTTTTACACTTGCATCTTACTCAGATGTCTGGAAAATAATTTGTGTTGCAGTGAAAGCAGCTGTGAACAGACTTTGTGTCTATCTGCCAGTTATAGGTTTAATAGAAGTGAATGTAACTTGTACAGCTGTTTATCCAGATACCCCATGTGGTGCTTTATTTCTGTGTGATCAGCTTGTTTTTTTTTTTTTATCACAGCTCAGTGTGTTACATCATTGGGTTTCTAATGCAGTCTTTGGTATCCAATACAGGAAATAAGCACTTGTCCCAGAGAGTTAATAATGAAATTGAGATCCAGGTACTGCATTGGCAGTTTTACATACATGCACACATGCGTGAATGTATTGTTTACATTCTACCTGTAAAAAGATGGCTGCATATGTGTATGGTTTATAAATATCGCACATACACACACACACACTGTCCTTCCAGAAGCACTTGGACACGCAATTATCATATATAAAATGTTTCGATCACCTTGTGGCCTTAACGACTGCTTCACTGTAGTTCAGAGGCGTGTGGTATGAGCTGGCTATAAACCTTGAATCATTGTGGTGTCCAACACCTTGAGATCTTTGGTAAGATCGCTCTCATGCTCGTGCTCCTATGAGTCCCAGCGATGATCTGCAGCTGCTTCATTCTACTGCGCTTATTCGCCGCAAACGAAAATAGTTGACCGTTGTCCCATTTGTCTTCCTTCAGAGGCATGTCCCATGACTTTTGATTGGATGCTATTAAATGTGGATGTGTTTAATGGAGCTGATTTTGAAAGTATTGATTGTTTAATATTCAGAAAGATTTGTGACCTGTCAGTGCCCTGTGGCCTAAACCAAAGTTAAAGGTATGTCAACTTTACCTTCATGCTGTTGGGTTTAAAAATACAAAATGTACTTCATGGTTTCCTGAGGTTTTAGTTTTTAGTTCCCTTTTTCAGCCATGCTTGTGTCTTTTAATAGTGGTACTGGCAGGTAATTGTTTCAACCAGTTATGAGCTTTAAGCATGTAACTATATTCTAATTTGCACTTTTTTGCCAAACATTGTTGCATCATCAATCCACATAGTATCGGCACCATTGGTAACATCATATAAAGGATCTTTTTTGTGTATGAAATAAGCTTTGGATTTTAATTTATTGTGGGGTGTTCATGTACGTAACTGAAGTGATCTTAAAATGATTTCACGTCAGCGATAAATGAGAACATTGTAGTTAATGTATTGTCAGATGTTTGGTGTTTTTTTTTCCTTTTGTAGACCAGTGTTTATCTGTCCTGAGTAATTTATCATTAAATAAAATATTTCAGAAAATTTGTCAGTGGTTATAACGCTAAAGAAACTATTGACAAATGCAAGTAACACCAGCGGCCCCCACTAACCTCTCATCATGGTTTGCTGTGTTTAAGTTCGACAATCTCTTTCAGCCAAGATAACAAAGGATCTCTGTCGAAGTGACGCAATTAGGATTTATTGATGGTCAGGCTAGAAAGGATACAATGTGCAGTGATATTCCCTGGATAAAACGGTTAATTGTAATTGTCAACATTTCAATGTTTCTTTATGGTTAGCAACATTCTGCTGTGTGATTATTGCACTGTCCCCCTCAGTATCTGAGGGGGACGGTGGGAGCATTGGGAAAAATCAGAGAGCAGATGTGTAACAGCACGCTCAAGAAGTGATTCATTCATTCAAACCATTTCTTAACTTGACTCAGAGAACTCATTGAGAGAGTCATATTTGAAAAAGACATTAAATATGAGAATATCACCACAAGCTGATATGGAGCCTGAAACGACCTATGAGTGACTTCTGTTTTAAAAATGACCTATTTCAGCAGTAACACGGTTTCCTGAAATGAGGGTAACCAAGCAGGTACTCGCGTCCGCACCCAGTACGGTCACGCAACACGCTACCACTGAACATACACTACACTGGAAAAACATCAAATTAAACTTGTCACAAAAATACATATTGAGAATATATCACTTCATGTTATATTAATTATACTTTTCCAAATTAGCCTTTAAAATTAAAGAAAATGAAAAGTAGAACAGAACCTGACAATATCAGGTAATTGATTTTTTTTCATGTTTTTTGTACTAATCTTAAACCTGGAGACAGTCCAGGTTTACACAAATAATAAAAAAAAAAAGAAATTAATACTGTTGATATATACATACAGTTGGATGCTGAATGTTCACATTCATCGAGTATCTTTTGTAATCTGGACGCTAAAATGAACATCTAAAGGTGTAATTGTGAATTAAAATACACGGCTCAAAAAATTAAAGGAATACTTTTTAGAGCATAGAGATTCCAGGAGACAGTCAGTTACTTTTGATTCCCCCCCCCCCCCCACAACCCAGACCAGGGTGCCTCTCCCAAAAGGGCCCATTACCAACTTGCATAGTTGGACCCATTCAGTCACAAAATTCCAACTATACTTTTGGGAAAAGCACCCCAGAATAAGCGGTTAGAGGATGGAGGAGATGGCTGGCTGGAGCTCACTGACCACAAATCATTAAATCAGCTTTCAATGGTAACCTGTGCATAGCTGACCGTAATGAGTGCTGACTCACCGCATAGCCCCTGTGCTCACTGCACTGTCAGAACCCTCATCACCGCATAGCCCCTGTGCTCACTGCACTGTCAGAACCCTCATCACCGCATNCTCACTGCACTGTCAGAACCCTCATCACCGCATAGCCCCTGTGCTCACTGCACTGTCAGAACCCTCATCACCGCATAGCCCCTGTGCTCACTGCATTGTCAGAACCCTCATCACCGCATTTACCCTGTGCTCACTGCACTGTCAGGTTCCTCATCACCGCATAGCCCCTGTGCTCACTGCACTGTCAGGCTCCTCATCACCGCATATCCCCTGTGCTCAATGCATTGTCAGAACCCTCATCAACGCATAGCCCCTGTGCTCACTGCACTGTCAGGCTCCTCATCACCGCATAGCCCCTGTGCTCACTGCACTGTCAGGCTCCTCATCACCGCATTGCCCCTGTGCTCACTGCACTGTCAGAACCCTCATCACCGCATTGCCCCTGTGCTAACTGCACTATCAGGTTCCTCATCACTGCATAGCCCCTGTGCTCACTGCACTGTCAGGCTCCTCATCACTGCATAGCCCCTGTGCTCACTGCACTGTTACCTTTGGAATATGGGTAGGTAAGTGCAATATAAATGAACCTGAATACTAATAGTACTCCTTCCCCCCAGTTAAGGTCAGTTTCAATAATCACAACATTTCCCATTAGACAACATTAGTAATGTCCTCTAAGTGTGCCCACTCAGATACAGCAATATCACACATGTAGAAATTTCAAACCAAAATAACCAGAACCTTTCTACACATACACATCCACGGTGGACTCCCTGTGCCATTCTTTTCATTTAAGTTAAATAATTTTCTCTGGAACTTTTGTCTGTGGAAGTCACGCAAAAAAATTAGTACACAGGTCCCACTAACTAAACAAACGCACAATATAAAGAAGAATGTATATAAATATCAGTCCAGGTTAATGTGGACATCGGATGAACAATTTGAAAGTGCAATACCTGATGCATAAGCGGCTAACACGATAACCACGGGTAATGCGGAATGCGGGTCCTAATACCCGATGTTCAAGCTAGATGGCGCTGTACTATTAAGAAGCGTTTGTTTTACTTTGAAGCAGTCGTCAAAGTTTCAATCGGAACATTCATTGTATTTAATTTCTGTTTTTTCCGTTTTACTTAGAATATTGATATATATTTTTTCAGCCCAGGTGGTTCTATATGATGTACTGAAATTATATTTGTTCTTTAACCTGTAATTATTTCTCAAATACTTAAAATGTTTTAAAATACTATTGGTCATCGACAGTTTATTGTATATAAAACGTCTTCGCCACTGACGTACTGTGTAATATACTTATGCTATAGGTGGCCTAGTTGCTATAGTAAATAACTGACGTGGCAAAAAAAACACACTCAAGCGACTGCACGCTGTCATTGATTAAGTTTATATCTATAGACAAGTTAAATAATTTTACCAAAATATCGTGTGAATTAACGGCAATGATCGATATATTATTTAGGAATAACGCTAGCCTATAAAAGGCAGATTATGGCAGTAGTAGGCTTTGTTTACTACAGTATAGGTGTGTATAGGGCAGATTCTTTAAGCCGTTGAGTAGTTAAATTATTAATTGCTCTAAATATATTTTTACATTTAACAGAACTCTAATGTGATATATTTTATATTTAGTAGTTATATTTCTAGCCACTTCATGAATGTTTGATCAAGTTTCTTTTAAAACATTCTACTTCATTTTTCTACTTAACGTTCGTTAATTTACCATTGCCAGGTTATGGATATAACCCTAGTTCGGTTTTTCATAAGCATTTCCATGTTCCTGTGACAGATTTGTTGAATGTAGGTTTATATGGCGTGATCCTTATATTCCACAATAATCAAATTGTATGTAAAAAAAAATAAAAAATGTAGATCTTGGATATAAAGAATAAGCACGCATGAAAGACTAGTAGCCCTAAATAATGAATGCCAATAGCACATTATATGGTAATGTGTACATGTAGACAGAAATAACTGATTTAGCAATTTTTCAATTGAAAATGTACACACTGGCCATTCATTTCGACAACTTTGTAAATTAGACACTCTCTCAAAATAACCAGAGAAATTTGATAGGCAAAACGCAACCGCGTGCGCACGTAAGCTCTTCAATCATTCATTCATCAGTTACTCTATGTACTTTACACTACTGCACATAACGCTGGCGACACTCACCCACTGTCAGGTTAAAAGGGCTCATATCTCAGGGAACGTCGCCAAATGCTCAACATGGGGTACGTACCGGATACGTACGCCTTACAAACAAGGGAGAATCTGTCAAGTAACGTGCATGTGAAATTGTGAACTATGGCTAGGGTCGACTCCGACGCAGCTACAGCAACCATTATGTTTATATTATCAGAGTAGAGTTTAAGAAAATCTTTTTTTAACAAACATTGTTTAATGAAAGCCGCCGACATCTTTAAATAACATTTTGACCGTTTGCCTGTACTGAAAAACTGTGTTGTTTGCTGATAATCCCTTTTATTGGGGTAGGCTGGCCCCTCTGATTCAGAGGTTAGGAATTTGCATCTGATCGCTGTTTGTCAACCAATGATTTGACTCGAGGATCGTGAGCACGCCTTAGATTAGGCAAGGATACAATGTTACGTCTAAATAGAGCCATACTTTGAAATCGAATTAGATGATTGCAATCGAATATAAATAATACGATCAGGGCAGAATTATACTTCGTTGACTCACGTTAAATATTAATTTAATAATCATATTACATTGACGCACAAATCAGGAATGTTTCTTCCGGTTCCCAAGAGTACAAAAACAAAACGGAAGCTGATGTGGTGAGTTTTTTCCCCTCTCTCTCTTGCTTCTTACGTTCGGCATGTTTAAAAAACGAGACACGGTTAATGCTCTTTTCGATCCTTGCCTTTCCGTGCTTGTTTTGTCCTTCTTTTTTAAAATGTTCAAAATGTTGACAAATTCCGGTTACAATTCGTAAACGCACACGTTGAAAGTGGCCGAAATGGAATTTTGTAGCACTGATTCACGTTTAGCTTCCACCGGCGCTTCATTCTGTACAAGTGTTTTCAAAGTTAATTTCTCTTAATACACATTGTTTGGATGTTTGCCTTTCGATGTTTATTATTGCATTTCACTTTGAAATTGATCTGTTGTTTTCTGCCGTCTGTTTTGTTATAACTTAAAATAAGCACCAAAATCATTCACGAATGGACTTCGTCTGGTTTCATATTGTGAACTTCTGTAGGTTTTGTAAGATTTCGTTTTGTTTTCGTTTTACAATTTAAATAAAGTGCTAGATCTGATATATACTTAAGATACACACGTTACAGGGCGCAGATTGCTCAGGAATTGTGCTCCAATTTCACATTTATGCATCATTTACTGTTAATCGTAAAGTATGAAACAAGATTTAGACATTTTAAACGGTATAGAAAATGATGTGTCCGATTTACTGTACTACGAATAGGATGAATAAATGTCATCAAAATATAACTTGCCAAAAATGCATCCCGCCTAATTTTAACGGGGTGAATGCCTACATGACACAGTGTTATGGGACATATTCGTTATATATTTTTTAAAAAAGCATATTAGCTTATTAGAAAGTCAACCACGTAACCTACATTTAGCTTTTCCATTACATCCGGTGACACGAAGCATCGACGGTTACTTCGTGCTGCTGCTGCTTATTCTTTAGTAGGTTTTTCCCATTTTTACTCAAGAACCAAATATTTCATTGTCTTGTCCATTATGAGACTTTTTCACTTTTTGTTAATGAACTACCATTGTAGAATGGATAAATGTACGCCATGATTTAGTTTAATAATATCTTAAAAGCAAGTTTTAGCTTACGTGCGACACCTCTGCACTCCAATAAACTAAAATGTACTTAGTTGATATGATTCAATAATAGAAAAAACTATACAAATGCGCATGAGGTTTTTATTATTTCAAATACGGAGTTCACCAATTTACAATCCAGCTCATCAAAGGCAAGACGGGTCTTCGCCAGCCATATAATCTTTGCTTGAGTCAATATTTGATATTAGTATTTAAGAACCAAAGGAAACGAATAGTCATATTTCTAAGTAATTTAATGAATTTACAATGCATATTTATTTAGGGGAAACGTGCCTTTTATGAGATGTTCTGAGCGATCAGGAAACCTTTCAATGGGGTGGGGGGAGGGGAATCTTCAGAAAACAGTGTAGCGCTCTGCCATGGCACTCTGCACATGTTCAATAGGAGACATCACCTGTCAATGAGCACCGTCTTTGCTCCTATTGATTTTTCCATCTGCGACCAGTGTGTGGAGGCCCAGCATATAACCACTGACACCTCCTCGTACATTGCGAAGGGAAAATGTATGTCAGATCACGTTCGATCATCAAGTGTGACGTTATACCAGTCAAGCCATGTTTACCCAGTGACAATGATAGTGCACCGTCAGAAAATGTTAGGATCTCTCCTTGAGCAAATGATTTAAAAATTCAACTCAGATCCTACACATGAGAAACAAACATGCTTGGCTGAAGTTGGTCATTCTGAGGATGGCCCTGGATGTCAGTGCTGGTCGGTACCAGAGTCACTCGGCGTAATGTCAGTTTTAACAGGGAAGGGGCTGGACTGTTGCAGGTGTAGTCATTTGAGTAGTGGCTCTCTCAGGCAAAGGAGGAGGCTTTTTTAGCTTTAAATGACTGTTTAATAAATTAAAGGAATGTGTCACTTATACAGCTGGCACCATGGTCCGTCTTCGCCTTTATTTGTTATGTTCAGTGTGGGAGTGAAAAATTAAAAAGTGAGAAAAATGTAGGAGAAATCTCGCCATGATCACCAGGAGCTTATCTGAGGCAACATATGGCAGAAGCTTGGGGCGGCCTGCATGGGATGCCCCCCCCCACCGTACAGATAGATGCACATGCCACAGGCAGTTTCGAAGGTTTGCTTAGTCTGACTGCGTGTCTTTGGGTTGCTGGAAGCTGCGGTGTCTAGCATGTGGAGAACATGTGGTCTTCACCCTGGGGAGAGGTGGGATTTGAACCCCCAACCTCACACAATTGGGGAAAATAAAATCTGTCAGTGTATATTGCACAAAATACAAATTCAACGATAATACAAGAAACGTTATTCATATATGCAATGTTTTTGTTTGTGTTTCCTGTTGTGATCATAAGAATGGTATTATAATATTTATTTTAGTCTTCAAAACCTTTTTCAGTTTTAAATTTTCTGTGTGGGTGCCTAGGTGTATTTTGGTTCTAAAAATATTCAATTAGATGTATTTTTATATTCAGTGTGGGTATAACAGGCTAGATTAAAATTGATTCTAAAATCCACTTGCCTGTTTTTAACATAGCACTAAATTATAATGATTTATTAAGTCTTATCGTCTTTATACAAAAATGTTATTCAAGGAAAAAAAAGATGATTTTTTTAAACTTGTACTTTTACAATGATTACTAAATTTGCATTCACTTTAGAATTGTGTCCGTTTAATATTAATGTAACCCACAACCACCTTTACAAATTTCAGTTGGCTAACACAAAAGATTACAGCAAGTCCAGTCAAACTTGTTTATCAAGTTCATGAAATATCTTGTATTAGAATTTACCTAAGGGCTTGGAGAGTCTGTCTTCGTAAGAAGAGCATTGTAGGAATCTCTTAATACACAGGTCACTGAAAACGTGGTGTTCCCAGGTTTTCAAGACGGTAATTCAAGTGTTCAGCCCTATTATTAAAGATGGAATGCATGGAATTATCAAAAAAAAAAACTTTAAAAAAATATATACTAGTTTTACTTCTTCATTTTGTTGTTCATAAAAGAAAATATCCACATTCAAATCCTATGAAATACAGAGACTACAACCTTAAATATTTAATCTGAGCCCCTAAAGAGTGTTTTATCCAACATCTTGAATACACAGCCAGAGAAGGAGCGATGACAAGAAAACGTGCAGCAGCAACTGCAACAACTTCTCGAACTGATGCTGTATTATTACAGTCTGTAATTGTTTGCGCTTTGTAAGTTACGTCAATTATGAAATATTTTTATTTGATTGACAGGGGTGGCGATTCAGAAAACAACACATCCGTAGTTATGGTGCGTCTGCTGTCCCGATGTATATTTTGAGGAAAATGAGTTTTTCTCTATGTCGGACTTATGTGGAGTGGAAACGTGGGTATGTAGTGCTTCCCCCTCTTAAAGACCCAGTGTCTTTGCATAATGAAGCTTGTATAATGGATAACGCGTCTTGTTAAAGGAGGGTGTCAGACGCCTCAGCCCGCGGCGTTTTCAGAAAGTGACCAGCCGCGCTGCTGAGGAATGTATTCTGATGATCGACATTTAGTGTTTCGATAGCACTCTCTGGGGGTGGGGGCGGGGGCGGGCGAACACACCCAAAGACAGTGAAAACTAGTCTGAACTTCCAGAATGTTTCAACGGGCAAGTCGAAATTAAAGGTAACGTCTGTTGCAAAAACCGAAGGCATTCCACTGAAGGTATCTGTCTAATGTTATCTGAATGGCTGCATTCACGATTATAGTAGAGTCTGCATCTTGATGCGTATTTTTTTATTAGTAGCAAGAAGAGTTTCATAATGTGACTGTTCCTCTTTTTTGCATTGCATTACATGAAGTGTTGCAATTTTGATTTTAAACGGCCCGAAGGAGGAGCGAAGAACGCGTCTATTCAGTGCCATTTCACAAGGATCCTCTGTACTCCGTCAACCCAATGTCTTTTTTTTTGTCTGTAATAATGAACTGCTTTACCTAAATAGTTATGTAAACAAAATTCAGTTTTTTATGTCTCAAAATGATGCTTTTGTTCATGTGAAATCCCTCGGTAATTATCTGCGAGGTATACAGATCATTGCATTTGTTGTCATGGAGGCCCATTCGCTGTCAAACGACTCCGGCTGCCTTTTCTTTACTTTAAAAATGATATTATGAGTTTTATGTTGGATCAGGTTGGTTTTTCCTCTCTAAAATATTTTAATGTATGTGCAGGAGACACGGGGTATATTTATACATATGGATATGAATTTTTTTTTACCCAGTATGATTTTTGGCAAGTAAAACAGACCATGTATTTCATATTGTTCCTTAGGTGAACAGTGGTTTTGCACATTTGTTTCCTTTATGTGTAACAATAATATTTGTCTTTTTTGTACAAGTTTTATAATCTTTTTCCCGAATGATATTGATTCAAATGATGCACGTAGTGTGCATCTTTTTATGGTTAGATTTTAGCAGTGTAGACCTAGCTGTCAAGCACAAAACACTTGTATATGCAATTGTACATGTACTAAGAGAGTATGTTTGCACTATTGTCATCTTAGAAAGGAAAAAAGAATATTGTGTATGAGTAAGACTCTTTTTGATGTCTGGTGTTTCCTGAGGTTATGGGAAAGTCAAGTGGTTTGGCAGACTTTCAGCTGTGTGACTGCCAAACCCGGCGCGCCAAAGTGTGCCTCTGGCATGCAGACTCTGTAGTGACTCTGCCAAGAAAAAAAAAGGAAGGAAAAGGAGGTGATTTCACTTTTTGGGACCCGGCCATGGTGAAATCCTGGCCAGCTTCTGGCGTTACATCATACTCGTGCCAAACATACCAGGCTGCTGCAAGTTTAAAGCCTCCACTGTGTGTGTGTGTGTGTGTGTGTGTGTGTGTGTGTGTGTGTGTGTGTGTGTGTGTGTGGTTAGAGACCTGTTCTGTTTGTATGTCTTTCTTTATTGCCCTTGGCTAGACGTGGCCTGACTGAGAGACCCAGCTACATTCCATGATAAACTTGCAGGGTCACCCTGATGTGTCCATCAATCCCGCCTGTGAGGACTCCATTAACATATTAGTGTTCCTACATGTGTAATATATGTTTGCATATAATGGCTTATGGTTATCTGTCGTTTTTAGCTGTAGTTGTAAAAAGATTCCATCACCAAGTCAGATCTTGCTGTCTCTGTGGGCTCTTCTTATTTTCCACTCCATTTTCAAAGCTTGCAGCCAGAAAAAGGGGGATTTTTTTGTAGAAACACATTGTGTACACATGCCGTCTTTAATTGACTTGTACAAACCAGAGCAGATCCTGGGTCTCAGAGGGTTGAAGTCCTGCATGAGCGGGACGATCTGAGAAAATGGATGACAGCAAGAGTCTGGAGATGGAAGTAAGTGTTGACAAATCAATAGAACAACATTGTCAGAACTCAATTTTAAAACATAGAAGATGACTAGGAGCTCTTCTGAGTCGTCACCTAGATCAGTGTTCTGCGTAAGGGGTTTGCAGAAAAATCTTCAAGAAGTTTGGAGAATTTGACTGGTGGCTGTGAAGAGGTGAGTGGTTCTGAAGATGAAGGGATTTTGATCAAGTTCAGACAGGAGTGGATTTGGATTATGGTGTATCAGTCTCTTCGCATGGTAGCATTTCCTTCAGAACCCAGAATTGTTCTGAGAGATCCGTAGAGGATCCTAAGGGGAAATGCTCACTTCTACCTTCTAAGAGTTGTTGTAGTCAAACACGGATTTCTGCTCAGTATTAAGGGGTTGGTAAAATATTTATATAAAGCGTTTGAGAGGCTCATTAGTCCTTGGGTAGGTCTTATGCATTACGGTGGTAAGCTGTCTTTTCTAGTGATATTTTGAGGAACATGAGTAAACTCTGCAGTTCTTGTTTCTGCACATGAAAACGCAGCTTCTGAATTTACAGATCTCCACTGCTGTTTGCATACAGCTAGTGTTATGATGGAGAACAGTGAGTGACTAGCAGTGTTGCTGTGAGATTCCTGCGAGGTTCCTGCGTACCGGGGTGATGCATTCCTTACTGATTAAGGATCTCCCTTGGCTGCCTGTTATCTTGGCTTTGTGATAGCGATTGCAGAACAGCCAACAGAAACCACCAAAAGCTAAATGAGTAGCTTATAAAAATAGCATGTGTCATATGGAAATGAAGAACTGTTACTTAATTAAACAGAAGAACCTGCAACCAGGCTGAAAAACACTGATCTGAGTTTACAGAGTCAGCAGCGGCACCAAAGACGAGGGAATTATAATTCAATAACAAGGAAGTGATTTACAATCCCCCATAGTGGAATGAGAAGTTTATATATGATGCCATTTAAGTTCCCGTCTCCAAAAATTCAATGTTATATTGTTACCCAGATTCACTTCTGAAACTTTTATTTTTAAATTTATTTTATGTTGTGATTTCTTCACTTTAGTTCACACTAGCTGCATCCACTTTGAACATCAGCCTGCCCAGGCTGGGGATCTTAACAAGATGTGTGTTATTTTCCAAAATGGTTGCACACATCCTGACTTGGCTTGTGGGGCCAGAGACTATGCAAGACGGGACAAGAAAGCAGGGGCCGCTCTGAGTCTGCAGGGAGCCGCGTGTCTCTGCTTATCTCTATGGAATTAGACCCTCCGTGTTTCCCTTATCACCATGACCTGTTTGTTAAGACCTTGAAATGTGTGCTGCTGCCCCTCCCCCCTCGATGCCAATGAAGCATTAACCAACAGCTCTCATCTCCCATTATCCTTCTCATTTGTTGCTGCTCTCTGTTTCCTCATTGTTCGTTCTTTCCTTCATCCATCCTTTCTACCTTGAGAACTTTGAAAGGAAAACTAGCAATTTCAGTTCCAAACTCAGTTAATCTGTTGAATGAAGAGACACCTTGAATGCTTGCATTTTTCTTCTATATGGCTGTTTTCTAATTCCATGATCAGTGTAAGTTTTTCTTTTTTTGTATGTATGTTCTTGTAATTGGCCATGGAGCTTTAGTTTTAACTGCCAAAGTCTTGATTGCTTGGACCTTGAAAAAACCTCAGCATTGCTATTTGCCACTTTAGTATCTGCAAGGAAGAGGACCCAGCTTTACACTCTGTAGAGTTTACCTCATTGTCTTATGTCATCTAAATCTTTCACCATCCAGTGTTATTTAAAGTCACACTCCATGAAGCCAGCTCAGTGCTTTTTTATATTATCTGCTCAATATTAAGTGAAGTCCAGATCATCTCTTCCTGCTACTGTGTTACTAAAACAAGAGTCATTTATTTGTATTTTAAATACTAACAATTTATCATACCTTAAAAACTGGCGTCCTTAGGTCCGATCACTCGGGTATTTTAAGCCTGGTTCTGAGTGTTTTTGCCCCGATGCCAGACTTCCTTCAAAAACCCCCCCTGCCTTTAAACACAGCGAAGACACAGACATGTTCAGCGGTATCAGCGTAGCCCGACACGTCTTATGAGTTACACAAAAATGCAAGACCAAACGATTTGCTCACCGCACTCTGCAGTGAGCAAAGTGAGCAAAGCATTATCTGTGCAAAATGTCCCAGTCCTCCTTATTCCATAGTCTTCTGTTATGCCGCGAGACAGCCGTGCCATGTGAAATCAGAGAAAATGCCGTATGCACTAATGTCACGACGATGGCGAGCTCGCAATGACCGGCTTGCTGTGGCAAATGAATTTCCCGTTTAAATATCAACATGGTGGTCTTTTAAAAATAATTTCCTTAAAACCCCATTTGCCCGATTCATTTCCTGACCTGCCCCCCCTGCCTTTGTCTCCAGCAGGCCCTGAGGGGTCCAAAGCTCACCAGCTGCATGGTGACCTCATCGCCGTAGACGGCATCTCACTGGGCTTTGCTTTCGGACCGAGCTGAGCGCCTGACAACCTGCGACTTTCCTGAAAACTCCATCTTTCTTCGTCACTCTGGGTGCTTTGACTGCAGCTGCTCAGGACTGGGATAGATTCCCGGAGTTCAAAACTGGGACGTTTTTTTAGCCACTTTTCCCTCGCAAGGAATTACAGTGTCCAGCTCTTCACATTCCAGGTTGAGACTTTTTTTCTTCTCAGGTGGAAAAAATACTGTGAGGATCTCATTTTTCTCCCCCTGGAGAATTTCAGCCTGTCTCTCCGTTGTAGCTGGCAGGTGGCAGCCCTCCTGTGTGTGTACCTGTGCCCCTCAGCTCTGACGCAGGCGGCCAGGGCCGTGCTGGGCAGCTTTCTCCGGAGATGAAGCTGCAGGCTGTGATGGAGAACCTGCACAGGCAGCAGAGGGCCAAGCTGCTCCTGGAGCAGCAGCAGCAGCAGGCTGGCCAGGCGCGGCGCCCCCCCCAGGCCCCCTCGCTGGACGGGGTTGGCGCAGGGAGCCCCGCCCCCGAGCCGGAGTCGGCCGAGACGGTGGCGCTAGCGGCCATGAGGGCAGCCGCCGCCGGCCTGCAGAGGGCGCCGGAGAGCCCCATGTCGGAGCACAGCAGCGCAGGGGACGACGAGGAGGACGAGGAGGAGGAGGAGGAGAGAGAGGGCCATTACAAGGACATGATGGGCTCTGATGAAGAGGAGCACATGTGAGTACAGAGGCCCTGTGACAAATTTCACCCTGATCGTCCCGCATTTGTGATTAACGTCCCAATTTGTTAAGGTTTGCTGCACTCAGACTGCATATTGGTGGCTTTAATAAAACTTTAATAAAACAAAATTCACGCATCTGATCTTAATCTGCTCTCTTATATATAAAGAGATGATGTACAGTAGAGCTCTGCAACTGCATTGAATTTCAGCCGTTTTGTTGTACTGTCATTATGCCACACTTCAGTTATAGCAATGCACATGCATTCTGAAAGTACGACAACTGTATCATATGTTTATATAGGTGCCTACTCCTGATATGCTCCTTAATGTGACTGATGCAGTTCAGGTTCCAGCTGTCTGCTCTTTCCGTGCCGTATCGATAGTACTGGCCTTTCGCGCCTTGTTGGGTGAGCCGGGCGTCTCTGTGGTGCAGAGTGTCACACCGCTGTCTGCGGCCTCCATGACTGGGGATCCATGGGGTTTGAACGTTCGCCTTGTGGCTCCCTTAGGTAGATTGGCATCTCCAGGTTGGCTTGGCTGTGTGTGAATGCCTGGGCTCCTGCAATGGACAGGCTCCCCTTCCAGGGTGATCCTAACCCTCTGCACTGTGCAGCCTGATCAACAGAACTTGGTGGGCTTGATAAGTCACCTGATCTACATCCTGGAGATGTTGACTTTGAGGTTAATTGGTCTTTGGGATTTTTTTTTTTGGATTAACAGAAAGCAAAAGTGGGATGAAGATGACTTTGAGAAGGACATGGAGGATGACTATGAGGATGGTCTGGGCGAGGAGGCCGTGACGGTGGGAAGGGACAGGGTGACGGCCGGGAGAGGCGTCCTCCTACTGCCCCACCGCCAGCTGAACCCGCACGGCCTGCAGCTCAAGGCCCGGCCCGCCTCGGACCCAGAGGCACGCATGTCTTCCCTGGCGCCTCATGGCTCTCACAGCCAGCTGGCTGCCCAGGACCACGGCGAGTGGACCTATGAGGAGCAATTCCGGCAGGTGGGTCCCTGTTGCTGCCTGACAGCCTGGCGTCCCTGGGTTCTCAGTCGCGATTGATTCGCAAACTACCATTGGCAGGCAGAGAAGAAAGAAGCAGTTAATTTTAGGGTAAAGAAATGCAATCAACAGTGCAGGAAACCATGCAACCATGCAGAAATGTCGCCAGACCTCATACTGCTGCTGTGGTTAATCAGATGCGTTTCACCGTCTCGAGGTCCATATTCTTGATGAATTAAGTCTTTGTGGCAGCACTAAGCCCTGCCACAGCCTTTCTGCATCCTGAGCTTAAATCAGTGTTCCGGAAGGGCTGCCCTGCTGCTATTCTCTCCCTGTGAATGTGTCATGTGAGGGATTCTGCTTGTCATTTATCTTGATTTCATAAATGTTCATCACTTCTCGCCTTGGAGTTGCACTAAGTGGCAGTTGCACTTGCTGACGGTTATTTAATCAGTATCACCAGCACCAAGTCTGTATTGTGATAATACAGAATTATCAGTTAATTTAAGGCTGACTTTATAATATATGCATCTCCAGTCAGTCAACAGATTTCAGATCAACAGCATATATACTGTATATATCTAAATGGTCGGGAGGTCAAGTGATGTCTTGTAGAATGTAAAGATCCTTAAATTGGTCTAATGTGATAAACTCAAACCAAGCAGTAGTTTGGTGTCCCCATATCGAGCGTAAGGCGGGGGAAGGGTTAAACCGTGGCAGTTTATTTTGGGCAGGTGGGTGGGGACAGGGGGAATATGCCTGAAGGGGGCTGATTATCTGGCCATGCTGGGCACAGGCTTTGGCAGGAAATCTGCAGGCCTCTATCAGTCTGTGTCACTTACGAAAATTCCAAACTGAAAGTCTGACAAAAGGGCACCAGGTGAGCAAGTTTAAGGAAAAAATAACACTTTTTACATTTCATCCTTTTAGAAAAAAGCATTTTCTCTCTGGTGTTTCTTAGGAAGAAAAACAAAAATTAAAAACTGCATGACATCAGTTTTTATCTTATGCACACACCATGGGCTGTAGTTTGAATGTGGTTAATTTTTTAATCACATTCAAGGCAACTTGCCAATAAACTGTGATTAATTATATCTCTCAATTGCAGGAATAACCCTAGTGCTGAATTAAACAATGAGATTTATGGCTGGTTTTTGGCTGGACCTATTAAAATGCAGATAAACAAATCTGAAACATTTGTGGCAGCCACTGTCGTTTGATATACCGTGACTGTTTTATGTGTTACATGAAAATGATAGCTCTGCCCTGGCTCCTCCCGTTTCCCTTGTTTGAGGGAGATTTATAATAAGTGCCGCCTGCTTTGTGCTCCGCCGTGTTGTTTGTGATAAGAGATGGAACGCGGCGGGATCTTATCACCGTGGCAGTGCAGGGTGTAGCAACAGGCTCCCTGACATGACATCAGGCAGCTGGTTTAACGTGAAAGGCCCCCACGCCGTCAGCTCTCCAGGCCGCCCCTGGCCCCTCGTGCCGTCCACTGTCCGGGCCGCCTCTGGTAGATATGGTGTTTCAGGAGTTGATATGGTGGGTTATTCAGTTTTCAAAACTTCCCATCTTGACAAATTCGGCTTTTGTGTGACGTAGAGAACTGAATCACAATGGCAGAGCTCATAATATAATCCGGTCACATGCTCACATACTCGTGATATTTGTTTTGTTCAACACATCTTTTCATCACACTCTTAAGAGAAACAACATTCCTGCTTTGCTCTGGGGACAAAAGGGTGAATGAGCTGATAATTACTCCTGTTGCGTTACAGAGCTTTATAGGAAAGGTGATTCGATTCAGGCATCTCTGTTTATCGTGTTACAGCCAGTCGGTTTAAATACAGAAGATAATCTAGCCACCCTCTGCAGTCGGCTCTGATCTGCTCAGTTCCCATGACACCTCAAGGCCAAAAGAAAACATTCAGCCCTCGACCTGCTTCTTGTTTTTTGAATGTGAGGAAAGATGGCAGATGGCAGCCCAGATGCACCAAGGAACCCCTTTAAAAATTCATGGTGCCCAGTGTTATTGGTTTGTCTATCTCTACATGGAGCATTAAAGATTGATTGGCAGAGTGAGACTGGAGAAAGTGGCGTGACCAGTGCTGCTTGGGGCAGATTTCAACTGGGTCTTGTTCCTTTGGTTGTTATCTTCGTCCGAGCTGTCAGTGTAGGACGCAGCTCGGCCTGGGGGGGGGGGGGGGGGGGACACAGGGCTGCGTTGAGCCACAAGAAGCGCCGGAAACAGTCCACATTTTTAAATGAAATCTTGTCGATG